ATTCTAATTTTCTGAGACAGTCCTGTAAATAGTCACAGATTGTTTGGATCAAAGCTCCCGGCCCATTTTGGGTTTGGTTCCAGTTGAGTCACATTAATTAAAAGAACTTTAGCTTGTGTTGCACAAACGTCCGTTATTGAGCAACATTTCCAGGCAGAGAAACAGAAAACATGACTGTTTAACAGCTTTTTATGGGGAGTTAAAGCAGGAGGAATCCAGACGGGGTTAAAGGTTAAAGGTCAAACCGTCTCCTTCATAGCAGTTTAATTCATTTTAACACTTTCATGTGTTAAGAAGAAGCTGTTTGTCCCTAAAGGAAGTCAGTTTTGGGCCTTTTCAGAGGTTTGAGACCGCAAACTAACTTTGTTTGACATTTTATCATTTCAATATATCCCCTTAAATGAGATCTTAAACACAAATTGGACTTTACATGTGTGATAGTGAGCGTTTTTCATATTTTTTAGTTGTTATCTGCCTCTAAAATCACCAGGAAAGAGTTCAGAAATCTTCTATTTCTGGGGACAGATCTCCATCTGAGGGTGTTTGGACTCATATTTTGTTCTAAATTCAGGATATTTATGGATTTGTGGGCAGAGAGAATCCCACAAACGGCTGCAGTCGCTTAGATGGAGCTAATTATGGGTCTGATCAAACCCAGAGCGGGTTAGGGTTAGGGTTAGGGTTAGGGTTAGGGTTAGGGTTGGGGGGGGGGGCTGTGTTTACTATCTGAGATCCTGTAACTCATCAGGATGTTTCCCCTATAGCTAATGAGCAGAAACAAGAAGTGACTCCCTAAATGTTCACTTTCAGACTCTGGCTATCGTCTTTTTATCAAACAGCCGTCCTGTGGTCTCTATGTGGTCAGAACCGCTTCATTAGCTCTGGATTCCCCAAATAAAAGGGTTTTAGTTCTTAGCTGTTTTCATCCCGGTGGATCAACTGAAGGTGAAGGTCTTTAATTTCCTGAGGGAGTCTTCCAAAGGGATCAATAAAGTCTAAGTCTAAGTCTAAGTCTCCATCCTGGATCTGAGGGTCCTCAGCAGGATTAACTCTCATATTGAGGAGAATCAGGAGGTCCAAACATTTCATTTCATTTCATTTATTTTGAAACATGATATGATTTAACAATGTTTACATTCATAAACATGCATCATGTTTAAAAAAGGATGAAGCATAAGCTTATTAAGCCCTCAGTTACATGTGTCATGGTGGTTAAGGACAATTATTTACAGTAAGACAAACAGTATACCAACTTTTTATATATTACTCTTTTTTGTATTCATCAAAAATACTTTTCTAATATTCTTTTTTGAATAGCTGGATGCTACTGCTCCAGATCCATCCCTTAACACCAACACCATCTAACCCACTCACTGTGGGGTTGTTTTCTGGGCCTCAGATCACAGAAACTCTCTGTAAAGTTTGTTTGTTTGTTTTTTTTATCTTAGTACGGGCTGTACTGGAAGTCAATTTCTCCCTGGAGATCAATAAAGTTTATTCAATTCAATTAAATTAAATTCAATTCAATTCAATTTATTCAATTCAATTCAATTCAATTCAATTCAATTAAATTCAATTCAATTCAATTCAATTCAATTCAATTCAATATAAAACCCTCAGATGGAACAAATAATGTTAGACATTCAACCTGTCACTCAGGGCCTCCTCTACCTCCTTTTTGTCCTCTTCCTCCTCTTCCTTTCCCTTTTTCTCCCCCTTTTCCTCCTCCTCCTCTTCCATTTTTCCGTTCCTCTTCTTCATTCTCTTCTACCTCCTCTTCCTCCTCCTCCTCTCCTTCCTCCTTCTCCTCCACCTCTTCCTCCTCCTACTCCTCCTCCTCTTCCTCCTCTCCCTCCTCCCCCTATTCCTCATACTCCCTTTCCTCTTCTTCCATCTCTTCTACCTCCTTTTCCTCCTTTTCCTCCTCCTCCTCCTCCTCTTCCTCATTTTCCTCTTCCTCTTCCTCATTTTCCTCTTCCTCCTTCTTCTTCCTCCTCATCTTCCTCTTCCTCATTTTCCTCTTCCTCTTCCTCCTCCTCCTCCTCTTCCTCCTCCTACTCCCTTTCCTCTTCTTCATTCTCTTCTACCTCCTTTTCCTCCTCCTCCTACTCCTCCTCTTCCATGTTTGGGGAAGGGCTCTGTAGTGGGACCAGCCTCCTCCTCCTCTTCCTCCTACTCCCTTTCCTCATTTTCCTCCTCTTCCTCCTTCTCCTTTTCCTCCTCTTCCTCCTTCTCCTTTTCCTCCTCTTCCTCTTCTTCTTCCTCCTCCTCTTCCTCCTCCTCTCCATATTTACTCCTCCTCCTCCATGTTTGGGGGAGGGACCGGACTCCTCCCTCTCCCCCCCCTCCTCTTCCTCCTCCTCTTTCTCTTTCTCCTCCTCTTTCTCCTCCTCTTTCTCTGTTGACAGTTTCAGCTCCACACTCCGCTGCTGTCAGAGGAGATCCAGCATCAGAGCAGAACCAGCAGAACCAACAGAACCGGGACAGAACCGGAACAGAACCAAACAGAGACATAACCAGAGATAGAACCGGGACAGAATCAGAACCAAACCAGGACAGAACCAGAGCTAGAATCGGGAAAAAAGCCGAACCGGGAGGAGATCCGAGAGAAACTCTGGGACCGAACCGGGACAGAAACGGAACCAAACCGGATCCAAATCAGAACCAAACCGGGACAGAACCAGAACCAAACCGGATCCAAACCGGGACAGAACTGAGACAGAACCGGGAGGAGGTCCGGGAGAAACTCTTGGATCTAACTCTGGGACATAAGTTGGAACATAAATTTGGGACCTTTTCGGGGACCTCTTTGGGGACCAGAACGGGACATATTTCTGGCACCAGACCGGGACCTGTTTGGGGCTCCAGCCCGGGTAGATATTCCGGACATATTCGGGTATATTCGGGCATATTCGGGTATATTCGGACATATTCCGTGCATATTCGGGTATATTCGGGTATATTCGGTATATTCCGGACATATTTGGTGCATATTCGGGTATATTCCGGGTAGATATTCCGGGTATATTCGGGTATATTCGGGTATATTCGGGTATATTCGGGCATATTCGGTATATTCCGGTGGGATGTCCTCCCCGGGGGAGGCCCTCTCCCTGTCCCCGGAGCAGACGCGGGTCCTGGAGGAGAACTTCCGCGTGTCCAGACACCCGGACCCGGCCTCCGTGATGCTGATAGCCGCAGAGTGCGGGCTCACGGAGGACCAGACTCAGGTGGGTTCCCTAAAATACAAATAAAACAACATCTAACATGAGTAACACAGTTAAAACAGGAGGAATACAACATCTAACATGGGTAACAGAGTTAAAACTAACATGGGTAACACAGTTAAAACAGGTGGAAAATAACATCTCTATTCAATTTATTATACACATCTAACATGGGTAACAGAGTTAAAACTAACATGGGTAACACAATTAAAACTAGGTGAAAAACAACATCTAACATGTGTAACACAATTAAAACAGGTGTAAACAACATCTCAATTCAATTTATTATACACATCTAACATGGGTAACACAGTTAAAACAGGAGGAATACAACATCTAACATGGGTAACAGAGTTAAAACTAACATGGGTAACAGAGTTAAAACAGGAGGAATACAACATCTAACATGGGTAACACAATTAAAACAGGTTAAAAACAACATCTAACATGGGTAACAGAGTTAAATCTAACATGGGTAACACAGTTAAAACAGGAGGAATACAACATCTAACATGAGTAACAGAGTTAGTTTTAACCGCACAGACATGCGGAACAGGGATGTGCAGAGACCACTAAAGGGGCAGGTGCTAAAAAAAAAAAGGGCACATCTAATCACATTTTCGGACAGAATATTAACAAAGTCACATAGCTTTCAGAGTTTAATGAACAATGATAACTTACAAAATTGTGAGACATACAATCAGAGCTAAGGAAAATCTCTACATAGAACATAGAACTATGCATATGTAAAATATTTGATTAGTCATTTCTTTCTGCAGGTCTATTTTATTTTAGGAAAGTATCACAATATTCAAACCTGCAATTTAGCAAAATATGTAAATCAGATCTGGACCACCAGACATATTTTAAATAAATAAAGGACCAAAAGGGCACATTGGGATCATGGAGCAAAAGGGGCAGGTGCTCAAGCCCCCTTAGC